CCATAAAAAGTAAATACGTTAGGTGAATTCTTATTTCACCAAAATTTTAAACATATAATTACTACCATTTTTGAAAAAAAATTTCAAAAATATAAAATTTTGGTTTTTTAAACTCAAAAACACGATTTTTTAGAAAAATCAAGGATTTTTGAAGTTTTTTGACAAGCATGTAAAAATGTACAAAAAACATTTTGGAAAAATAATTTCAATAAACCTTGAGAGCTAAATTGCATTTGTTCCAGAATTTTAGGTGCTACAACCCCTACAAGTTTTTCTTTTGGTATAGGAATCCGTTAAAGATAACAATTGAATTAAAAAATGTGTCCTCTGAAATCAGATGTATTTTAGGCCCTGAATGATATTGACGACAAAACTGGCTGCTTCAGTTAGATTGGGTTAGCACCAATACCAGTGATATGGTGAATCCAAATATTTTCAGAGACAAGTGTTTTATTTTAACCACCTATCAACAAATCCACGAATAGTATAGTTTTTTAGCACTAAAATCGTGCTAAAAGATTACCTTAGGTTAAGTTAGATTAGTCCTCTTTTCAGAAATGAATTCAATCAAATTTGTATTTTAAATTCCGAGTTTAACGATGAATGCATCGATTTTTCAAAGATGTTTATTATTGTTTTTTTTTTTTATGTGAACACTTTCTACTAGAAAGCTTATTCTGATTATCAAATATAACATCTTTTCTGAAAGGAAATAATCTCTGGATTGTACTTTAAAGAGGTCATTTTTTGAAATTCTCATTAATATTCGAGATAATGAGGAAAACCCGGTTTTTTTAGGTTAAAAGATTAAAAATTATGTTGTCATAAGCAGCTGTTTTCATTTATTTTTTTGTTATTATTTTAATATTTTTTACACAATCATTGTTGTCATGGAAACACAAATTGTTGTAACATATATTGTTGATAAAGCAAGCCATAACAGAAGCATCGATAGCATCGTTATATGTTTGACAAACAACTTTTTTACCAACATTCCATTTCAAAATTTTGTTCGAATAATTTTAGATAAATCAGCCGCATCTAATGTTTGGAAATTTCAGAAGATTCGATAAATTTCTCTTCGATTTTTCTATTGTAATGAACTTTTTTTTTATCTACCCTCTTATTAAGAACAGTCAAATTTGTTTAGTTATTTAATTAATTATTAATTTACCCACATTTAACAGGGGAGGCTAACGCCTCTTCCCCTGTAATACTTGGATTCAATACTGTTGTATTGATATAAATAATTTGTAGTTTGAAATTCTTTTAAAATATGAGAATTTCACACTTCTATTACGTAACGAATTAAATAATTTTGAATGTCATAAGAAGTTCCTTTAAAAACAGAATTTTGTCGAAAAATGTTCTCTTTAAATTGTTTTTCTTTAACAAGTAAATTCAAAAGTTCGCAATATTCCCTTTATTTAAAGAACTTTTATTCTCACGGTGTCTGCGGATTACTAATTCTTGTTTTCCTAAAAAAACAAACTACATCAATTAAACGAGTTAATATCTTTTTATTTATGTCGGCTTGTTTATTATGATTAATTGCAGTTAAACAACGACTTTCAGATATGGAATTTTCAATTCTATTTTTACCATAGAATATGAAAACTTTCTTTGTTATTCAGATGTTTTCTTGAATTTTTATGTTTTTCAACTTTACGTATTAAGTTTTTAATATTAGGATTGTCATTTAAGTTCAACTTGTTTTTTTCCTATAAAAAAGACGCATATAATATATTATTATAATAGTATAATTTATTTCTCTCAACGCTTTCCACAAGTTTCGTACATTTTCGTAAAATCACATTTCAATTTGTCTCAGACGATTCGATGGCGGTTCCTTGAGCGGTGATTTCGATATAGATATTGTGTAAATAAAATATACAAAAGTATTATATAAACGTCACTTGAATAATGCAGTTGAGTCGAATCAGCCGAAATAACATTTTATTTATAAAATTGTGAAGATGCACAATTCTATTATAGTATTTTAACAAAGCTGGACACTAACTAGTTAGAAAGTTACTTTATAAATTACCTAGTTAGTTTTTATTCATAATACAACTTAGTAACTTAACTAGTTGAATTGAACGTGGAATATATTCTAATCTAACTCGTTAAAAATAAAAAGAAACTAGTATAATATTGAGTATTTTCAATTTTATAAAACATTTTTTTTGTCATATTATTCGATAACCAATTATAGTCGGCCTAAAATCATTTATAATAATTTTCAAGAAATTAAAGTTATTACCTAATTCATAATTAATTTACATAATACTCTACAATTGAGCTGGTTTTTCAATATATATTTAAAAAAGAAGAACTAACTTCTGTCTTATATTTTAACTTAGTTAGATTTTATTATTAACTAACTTAGCTATAAATAGTTGAAAAAAAACCAACTTGCCCTGATTAGAGTATTTACTATATAATAACTAATATATTTTAAAATTGTAATTAGTAGTTAATTTTGGGTAAACAATGTCCCAATGTCTCATTTTTTACCCTAACGCACTACCACTGCTATAATTGTGTTAGTAATAATAATAATATATGCATATGTTGTATTATACATGAATATAAACAAATTATAAAATTAAGTCGCTTTTTTTTGTACTGGATAAACTCCAAAATGGCTGAATGGATTTTGATTTGGTTTTCACTAATAGATCGGCCGAATCTCGGGGAAGGTTTCTAGTTTTTTTAAAGTTTGTGTAATACTGCAATATAAGCTGATGAAATTACAGAAATGTCATGTGAATCTCATATGAGTTTAATTTTTCGTTATATCCTTGATAATAAATTCGTTATTAAACGAAACCGGGGAAAAACATGGAAAAACCGTAGGAAAAACGGAAAATAAGTACAATATTAAACAAATATTGTTAAAGAAAATATAAAATGCCTATGTAATTAGTTTACCACATTATTGACAAAGGAACACTATCAACTGAACATCGCTCATAATCGTTTTTTCGTTTTCAATAGCATAGTTGCTTAAATATGTACATTTAATGTATTGAATTTCACCTTTTATTCATTAAAGAAAATAGTATTTAAAACTACCACCCACCGCTAGTGTTAAAGACGAGTAAATTGCGACGGGTCGGGTCCTTTAAAGTTTCCAGCCAACACCGTGCAAGTCTGATCGAATTACCGTGTTGTGAATAAACGACAAAGAGAACCGCTCACTTCACGTATATTCTATTAATACCTTTGACATATTCAGTTAATACATTAAAAATAATTCTGTTAGACTAGACACAAAAAATTTAGAAAATAAATATTTTTAAAAACATAAGATCTATACACAGTTGAGAATTATAATTGTTAAATATCACACAATTATTAAAATTAACCTTTATTATATATTACAGTGTGCAATTTTTCACAAGCCCGTGAAGTTGCCCCCCACATTAACGTATCAACTCCAATCTGGTACCATTATTTTTGACCTGATTTGCAAATATTTGCAACCAAATTTTTAGAATTTGTAATCAAATATATCCGCCACAAAACCGATTTAACTGCCGGGATTGTCAACTTCACACAGCCCCCCCCTCCCTCATATCGGCCTATCGGCTTCAAACTAATACTATTATTTTGCAACTAATTTTCAACTATTTGCAACCATGTTTTTGAAATTTGGGACCAATTATTTTCGCCACAAAATCAATTTTATTGAGATGTAATGCTAATTTTATAATTACAAATTTCTTAAAAGATAAACCATCAGCCATCGAATCACAATCATGTCCAAAATCTATACAAACAAAAACATTTAATAGTCCTATAGTGATATTAAATTTAAAAGATGAATTCAAATACCTCAATGAGGATATAAAGGACTACTTAAAAGAAAGTAAGTCTACCTGTTCGAATTGCTCAGAAACCGTAACAGTTTTAAGCAAGAATCAACAACATATTTATTGAAACAAGTTATTCTTTCGAGAAAACGGATTATTCTTAACGTGAAATTCCTATACAACTGGATATAAATGATGACAAGTAACGATTGTTTAACTAAAAATGCATAACAACCAACTTCATAATATAATTTTACAAATTTTTCTCATTATTTTTTCTGAGTTCATATTTATGGATTCAATGAGTTATGGGCATGATCACTATAATACATCCTACATGAAAAGAACATCTGATTAGGAAATACACAATGATTTTAAAAAAATAAAATAAAAATCATCATCCAAATCAAAAGTTAAACCACATTTAGCAATTTGTATTAAAAAGTCTGTAGAATAATATCAACCTACAAAAAAATAAAATATATACATTAATTAAAATTATCAATTTATTTTTACTAATGATTAAAGCTATCATTATTATTAACCATTAGTTGTAGGAATTTTTTGTTTATTTGACTTAAATTTATACAATTATTATCAAAACTAAATTGTATATAATGCTAACTGTAAAATTTATTTTTATTAATTTAATTTTATGACGTATTTAAAATAATTTAAAGTTTTTTCTTTCGAGCGAACATGAACACCCTAAATGCACACCTCTCACCCACAATAAATTTTATTTTGCGGCGAAAATAATTGATTGCAAATTCTAAGAATTTGGTCACAAGTAGTTGCAAATCAGTTGCAAAATAATGATACCAGTTTGGAGTTGATACGTTGATGTGGAGGGGCCAACTTCACGAAAATATGGAAAATTGCACACTATAATAAAGGTTCATTGTAATAATTGTGTGATATTCAACAACTATAATTCTCAATTGTACATAGGATCTTATGTTTTTAATAATATTTATTTTCTAAATTGTTTGTGTCTAGTCCAATAGAATTATTTCTAATGTATTAACCGAATATATCAAAGATATTTATAAAATATACTGTTTAAGGGCAGTGTAGGAATGAATCCACACTGCTCCCTCGGCAAGACTACAGAGCATTTATATGGGGAGTGAGGAAATTAATTCACACTGCCCGCTCTGCATGACGCCCGGGGTGTTAAAATCACTTTGCCTTAAAATATTTATCATCCTTTTTCTTCAGATCGTCCACGAACTCTTTTACTTTGACCCAAGGTTTCTTCGGTTTCACAAACAACACATCCTGCAACACACAGAAGAAGAATATACCGTCAAACACTTTTTATTTTATTGGTTTTATACAACGTCATTCTAATACGTAAGATAATATGTTTAACCACTAACGTTCGCAAACACTCGTTGTTGTTGTACCGGGTTTGTTATGTAATCTAACCAATCCACCATTTCTTCATAATTCACTATATCTTGTTCTTCATGTTTGAACCTATACAAATGCAAAGAAAAATGTTACCGTCATGGACACGTGCTTCGAGTTATTTATTTTATTCAGAGTTAACATAATATATTATGTTGTAAACGCAACCACAGTTAAAAGTTATTGGATCAGTAAATTGTTGAATTATGACGTGAGCATATAAGAGAAAGAAACATAAATAACTTAAAACTGTCCGAACTTAATCGGACACCGCCGCGCACTCGCGCCATTCCGACGCCGTTACCGAATAACACCTCGGCGGTACACACTATGCGCACCACGCGCTTGCGATCAGAACACCATTGCACGCTGATCGACCGGTCACGGTTATATTTTAGTTTACGGCCGAAACCCGATTTTAATGAAACTTTTCGTTTCCGACGGTTACCGACTCTACCGCGTTCATGAAATATCGAAAACCCGCCGATACGTAGGTAAAAGTAGACGATACAGCGTCCGGGATCCGGGGAATATCGTTGTGCGTAACCACCGTTACCAGTCGCCGCCGCACTTAGCTTCGGCACTGCCGCGCACCGGTATTAATTAGACGCCGACCTTTTGTGCTGGTATTATTTATTATTACATAATACGTTGTTATGATACGGCCAGTATCGCCGCGGTCGCCACGCACCTACCGGCCATTTTTTTTTTTTTTTTCGCATTCGTGGGCTCTACATTTACCGGACAAATGGCAGCCGACAGCGATTCTATGCGGCTTACATTCCGCAAACATTTGACGCTTGATTCGTTTTACGATAAACGTACCTGTACGACTATACCCATTCGTGTGCAACAGTGTTATTGGTCTACCTTACAGTGTTATTGGCCTACCTTACAGTGTTATGCCTGCGCGGGAAAACAATCGGGAGTAGCCCTGATAAAAAATGGCCGATAAGCGCGTGGCGATCGCGGCTCACTTTTCGCTGGCCGTGCTTATAAGCTTATAGGCTGTTATAAGCTGGTCAGCACATTATTCATGCCCTACCCCCATTATTATTTAACATTATTCATTTTTTTTTTTTTTTTTTTCCAATAGTAGTCCGTTGACCCAGAAAACAGAAACAGTAGTTATATTCTTAAGTAACCCAAATAATTTAATTTTATACAATCCATAAACAATAAAACAACAGTACAATTTATAATATTATTTCTGTACAAGCGCGAGAACCTAATCTGATGTTTATTTGATCAAATGAGTAACACATTTTGGTTGTACCATATACTTGTATGCAATTTTCGATTTAAAAAAATAATTAAAATAAAAACCGTAAAAAAGTAGAAAAATTACTCACTCGTTAAAAATAAGGTTTATTACTTCGCTGCTCAACGGGATTTTGCAGCTTTTCACTGCTTTGATTGCTTCTTTGATTAAAACATAATCTTTTTTGTCAGAAGTTAATTTTCTAGATCTTAAGTTTCGTTTTAGACCATCAAAGTGTATAAATTGTGCTCTTCTCAATATATCCTGAACTACATTTTGAAAATCATTACTCGTATAGGGTTCATACGGTTCTTTTCGCTTATATATGAAAGCGAGTACTACTCCAGTATGATCATCCAATTTTTTATTGAAACTCATAATTTGTCTAAATTCGTCTCTATTCACTAGTTCTCGATCTTGAAAAGCTTGAGTAAAAAATTCGTCTATACTCTGAAATCGTTCTTTTATAAACGAATGCGTTTTACAAAACAATGCTTCAAAATTGCTGTGCGGGAACTAAAATTATAGACAAAATTTTTCGAATCATAACAATTAACAATAATTGTGTTTACAAATATGTGCAATATGAGTTTTATATTTACTTCCTCTGGATTATTTATAAAAAACTTTAACGTGTTCTCGTCGACGTCTATGATTTTGAACTCAAATCCGTTTACATAAATATTCAACCCGACTGCCAATTCTTGAAAGGTGAACTTTTTTTGGTCTTTCTCATTAAACCCACGCTTCGAAAGGAAATATCCACCTCGTAATCCTTTATATATAAAATATATGAACATATTATATGTATTTAAGTATTTCAGAATATTGATTTATAAATATTATAAATCCAATTTAATGGAAATATTAATGAATAACGACCATAACAATTAAATAAAAACAAATGAAAAAGATCAAATCTCATGTGTAATCAAATAAAATCAACGAGTATTACTATTTTTTTTTTTTTTAGATTCGGAGCGTAGCGAAGGATCTATTGGTTTTAAAATGATGTGGGATATTTCATTTTTTTTTTTCTGTCTGTAAACAACTTTTGGACAAGAAATCTTGATAAATAGAGTGCAGCACCTTTACTGAAAGATGATTTTGTCTAGTTAATTCATAAGCGAGGTCATTTATTGATTTTCCTATGTGAAAAACCCGAAGGAAAAATAAAGATAAAATGGCAAATATTTACGGCATTACCGTTTTCATTGTTTATAATTTTTGTTCACGATGTTTTTTACCAGAAATATTACTCCAATCAAAAAATAACAAGAGATCGATTTTATTCCTTTTGATGAGAAATAGCCACTGACAAGGAAAATTATTTTTTGATATCTAAAATAGTTTTCATGATAAATGTAAAAAGCAAAAAAACCAAAAAATCTGCGTATTTTTTTATTTTAAATGTTTACGGTTTATGTTTTCTACATATTGCTCCAATAGAAAAATAACAATATCCTCTTATTATGTTGCATTTTTATTTTATTTCATGTTATAGAAATTTGATTTTTGATTTTTTGGGTAGTTTTTGTAATAATTGAGAAAAACCGAAAAATATCAACTAATAAATTTACGACGCTAGGATTCCTTCCTTTTTAAATTTGTATGGCTCATATTTTCTGCAAAAAATATTTAATATAATATTCCAATAAAAAAATAAAAAAAAACAAAAGATTAGTTTTGCTGTATTTTTAATCTAGTTGGTGACCATGAGTCAGTTTTTGATTTTCTTTTTAGTTTTTAAAAATCTGAAAAATATATTAAAAGAACAGGAAAATGTACGAAAATATTTATTTTTATTTTCAATGTTGTTTTTATAATGTTATTTAGTTTTAAATATTCGTAAACGTGACATTTTAACAGATATTTTATGTTAAAATTTTCAAAACATTTGAGCTATTTATAGACATTTTAATTTTTGGAGGGTTTACATAATTACTCAAAATTTCTGGCAGAAAAAAAAATAATACACTAATACACACCTAACGCAGCTCAGAATCTAAAAGGAATGAAAAAGAATCAAAAAAGGACGAACATACTTCGCACGTGGGTGCAGTCATTGTTTTAGGTGGGAGGTTGGGAAGGTAGAATACAGACGGGAATTTGATGCATGTATGTTTTCATGTCAACGATTGTTTAAAAAAGATTAAAATAATAAAAACTTAAATACAAGAAATAAATAAAAAAAGGTTTCCAATGACAATCTTATTTTCAATCTTTCAATATTTTTTAACCTAAAGAACCACGTTTTCCTCATTATATCGAATTTCAAAAGATGACCTCTTTAAAGTACCACCCAGAGAACATTTCCTTTCAGGTAAAGTGCTATACTTGATAATCAGAGTAAGCTTTCTGATAGAAAGTGTCACATAAAAAGAAAATTAAATAAAATAATAAACATTTTTGTAAAACCAACATATTCTTCGCTAAACTCAGAATCTAAAATTAAAAATTTTAAAAATAAAATAAAGGTTCTTCTATCAATTATTGTTTCGTAATCTTTAATATTGTTTTTATATCCATGTACTTTCCACTTACTTTTTTTCTGATTTTTTTTCGTATTAATTTATTATCTGATTCAGCCTATTGCCGAAATATATTGTAAAACAAAAAAAATATATATATTATTATATACCTAGTAATACTCGTGCCTTTACACTTAATTTTATTTTAAAATAGAATTATTAATTATTATGTATAACGATACATTCTTACACAAATTTTATTTGTTTTAAAATAAATTTAGGGTGATTGTACAAGCATAAAAAGATAAATTTATAATAAAAAAAAAACTTTTTTTTTTTTTAAAGACTACCAAAATGTTATACAATTTATCTATTTGATTTTTACACTATCTTCAAAACAGTTTAACTCACCAGCCACCAATTCTTTACATTCATATATAGAGAACTGTGCATCGTTCAAGTAATACTTTAAACTGAACTTTCTCATTGGATTACTTGGATCGCTGCAGTTATTCAATCTAATATCGAAACCAAATACTATAGGCTCTTTTATGCGAATCAATAATGTTTCCCTTAAAACACTGTTATTCTTATCAATTTCTGCTTCTATCGTCTTATCGGTGTTCTCTTGTTTAACTTCGCTTTCGTTCTGAGAAGCTTTGAATACATTAACATCTAAATCATAGTCAATTTATAAATACGTGTTATTATTTATCATACATATAGTATATTATTTTAAAAAATAAACATCAATATAGTAATTTTTTTTTCACTAATTTAATATAGAATTATTGTTAGTTGTTAAAATTTAAGCATTTTATAGAAGAAACAATTATATTAAATTTGTATAAATAGATACATTTTTATATATATTGTACTCACCTACACCTAAGTTGTCCACATAAAATTGTTCCGTAACCTCATTACATTCTGTTAAAACAACATCATTGCCTTTCGCGGAAAATGTTGCACCAATAAATAAGTCAGTATAGTGTATGTGTTCAACGGCCGGTTTTAAACTGTGTCTATCCAGCATATAATAGGTACTATCTGAGGCGTTTGTTATCGAATTTAATAAGTTTTGTTTAATATTTTGCCCAGGGAATACACACCATGGACCGTTCTATACACAAAAATCGAACGCATTAGATATGACCTACTACTGTATTTGGTAAAAAGTAACGCTTAAAAAACAGTAAAATCTGAGCTGTTTTCATATTAAAAGTGTAGTGTTGACTTATAATGAGTGTTACTTATCAAAATAAAAGCAAACGCTACTAGCATGGCTACAAAAAAAGATAGAGCGCCACAGTAGCATTTTAACAAATAGCACACTACTACCAAACACTACTTATTGTAGGTAGGTACTTACTTTTGGTATTTTTTGTCTTTTTAGAAAAACTACACATTCTTGCTTACAAGATTTAGTCTTTTCAATCATTTCTCTTATTTCAATTGTGTCGTCTACAAGGTAATACAAAATGTGGAGATTACGCACATTGTGACCATTCTTTTCTTCACTATATCCTTTAAACCGTAAAATCGAACAAGTATCGTCATCCAGCTGAAGCGACTGATAGTTTTTATATTTGATAGACTTTATTTTGGGTAAAGGGTCCAGTTCGGTCTGAAACAGAAAGCCTACAGTAATATACATAATAATAATGTTCAATAATAATATTTGATTATGAACTATGGTCAATACAAATATTATAATTATAGTAAATAAATATATACACTTTTTATTTAAATATTTATTTACGAGTATTAACCATTTTAATAATTTTGTTTTTACTTTATTATTTTGTTACAAATATTATGTATGAATCAGGTAATATTCTGACAAAGAAATATAATAATAATAAAAATAGAACTTTACTCGTTTTCTGTATGTAAAGTACGGATCAATAGGAACTGTTTCGTTGTCCTTTATGACCATACCCATTTTTAACAAAAAATCTCTAGTATAATCGTTAGCACCGGTGATGTGTAATTGCTTTCCGTAAAAGTTAACCGTTTCACCAATAATTAAATCGGTTACTTTGTAATAGGGCCCGGTTTTTTGATTACCGCCGGGTAACGGTATTAATTGCCTTTTTATAAAGCAACCTGTAAATTAAAAAAATGAAGTTTTACCATTATAGGTACACGAAAAAATAATAAAATAATTTAAAAAATATTTTTTTAACAACTTTTTACATTAATAATAGCATAGCATTCATTTTTTTGTTCAACAGTTTTTACAATTGTCAAAGATTAATTTTTTAATTGCTTGAAATTATATAGTAGTATATAGTAGTAATATCCGTATGTTTAGATTAAATTCAATAGAGGTTGTATGTATTTATGTATGTATGCATGTGTATTAATTTATATCAATCTAGTATACAGAGGCGGATTTTAGTATGTATTAGAGCAAAAATATATTGCTCCATTGCCACAAACAAATTAATTTAATATTATTTAATGATGAATTAAAAACAATAAATTCCGAAAAGTAGTACAATAATAGAAATTGCCTAAACATTATTAGTGTCACATGTGATTTAAATCAATAATGTTGAGTAACGATTAAAATTTAATTCCTGAAACTATATATTTTTTATATGATTAAATTAAATTTAAATACATTTTCCTGTATTTACCGTTAAATAATTACAAAACTGTAAGGCCTCCAAATTTGTAACGACCATTGGGATTTAGATCATTAAGACCCCCCCCCCCCTAAATCCGGCCATGCTCATTTATAAAAATATATATACCTTGTGCTGTTCCGCTGTTCGGTTGCTTCGTTTCATTTACCTTAATAGTTTCATCCACCAGAAAATAAATGATATTCATTTTCCTTACGTTCACATCCATGTCTTTAGGACCGTTAAATATCTTGGTTTTATAATAAGCATTGAAACATAGTGTCTAAAAATAATGGTCTTCAGTTTTTATTGGATTTCACTTTTCGTGAACTTATAAATACGTTTGAATTTTTTAGAAAATCGCGAAAAATGATATTTAAATAATAAGTTAAAAACGCCCATGAGTGACAGAGCTCCGTCACTAGTCGAATTTTCCTACATCTATTTTGTATAATAGAAATATTCTTTGCAAAACGATAAATAACCAAATAGGTCTGTCACACTGAATTCTTATTAGAATTATATTAAAACAGTATAACGAACAAAATTATAATACTCGCGATTTATTCAGAATGCTAAATAACTCTGGAGCAATTATACGAAAAATGTCGATTATAGCCAAAATATAATACAGCCAATAAATATAATATAGCCAAATACCTACCATAAAAATAAAACAAATTTTATAACTCAAAATAGTAAAAATTACAAGGGATACTGGCATACTGCTAATCATTATTTGTTAATAAATAAACCTAATTTAACAGCCTAATATTAATGACTGGAATAATTACAATTCTAATTCGTTTTCTTTCTAATGATATAGTTTGCTACTTCGCTAATAACCTTTGATGTTAACTGCGTTCTTCCTACTCCCGCCACAAGTTTTTACTTAAGGGACTGCGTATCAAATAATTAATATAATTAACTTTTATTTGTATTACATATAATTTTTTTTTAATAATAATCGCTTTAAATAATCACTTGGAATATTATATGTAGAAATTAAGAATTAGTTATTATACTATAAAAAAATACCGTGTATGGTATATTGATATGCGTATTATTTTTTTTTTTTTGATCCTAATAAATAGGTAAATAAATAAATACAACAGACACAATAATGTGTAATTATACTGTAATTTCGGAAAAAACTCGAAAAATATCATTTTTTGTATTATATACTTTCGTAAAATTAAAATTCATCAAATACAATTACAGTCAAATATTATTCATTCTATCATATTTTTTTATACAAATGTTTACTTACCTCTTTATCCAATACCATCCAATTACGTTTATTTTCAACGTTCTTTCCGTCAGCACTCATTGCCGCGGCTACGTCTGTATTAACTATCAGTGGTTTTCTTTTATCTGTTAACATCCGTGTACCGTCCATCATTTGAAAATTATTTATTTTCGGATATCTGAATTTAAATTCCTAATAAAATTTAAAAAAAAAACTCATTACAACAAATACAAATTTGAGTTATCGGACCGGGAAAACTATTAATAAAACTATTACGTATATGAAAAATGTAATTTTTAAAATAATATTATTATCCTTTTTAATACTTTAGAACTTATAGAATGCAATGGTAAAATAATATGCTTTTAAATCGAATATAATGACAATTCTATACTGTACAGTGAACCTAGCAAAAATAAAAAAAGATACTGATATACACGATTTATATTTGTTGTTATTTTTTAACATTTTGATGTTTAGTTAGCGTACAAATTTCATTATTCAAAATAGTCATTAGACATACCAAGTAAGTCTGATAAAGACCGGGAATTTTCGGCAACGGCGATCGACCACACATTGTCACAATTTTCGTTTTCAGATATAGAACTTATAACGACTTTTGTATGCAACTACTGAATACGGCAAACTGTTACAGCAAAAGTATTACTTTTATACTATTATATTTATATTAATAATAAGTTATTATATTTTGCCTAACAAGTATCCGTATCTGTGGAAACCACTAGATTATACCACTACAGTCTTACTATAGTTATATTACATTTATACTTGTAGCTCATGGAAAGTCGGTGTTTACTTTTATTTCGAAATACGATCTCCTAAACATATGCATTTTGTACTTAAGCTACAGAAAATGTATTTTTTTTTGTGGGTTGATTTCTGACTTACCTTAATCACGTTGCATAAATATAAAAGAACATTTCCTTAATTCGAATAAAGTATTTATTTTTGTTGTGTTCATTGTTGGGTTTCTTTGGTTAATTGAAATAAAAAAAATATTTAATTAATTAATTAAATATTAAATAGAAAAATAAAGAAAATTAATATTCCATTAGACAATGATTATAGATGGTAACATACGAATAATTATAAATTTCCTATTCTAATTATTCAAACAGAGGGGATTTTCTGTTTGTAAAAATAACACCAAATACAAAAAATTAGAGTGCGTTGATAGAGAGCGTGGCCACATGGAAAGTTGCTCTGATTGTACCACAGATTTGACCGCCATTAGTTGACTGTTTTTCGTTTTAATAAGTTATTTTAACATACATTACTATAATATACCAAATTATTTTAAATTTAAAAGCCATTTAGTTGTTGTTAAATAAATTTTAAATCACTAGTTTATATTTTCATACAGGTATGAAAGTATATAGGTTCTCAGGTGTTTTTCCAACAAATAAGGAAAAAGCTAGAAAATGTACAAAATGTAGGTAGGTACCTATTAGTAAAAAATATTTTTTTCATATAATCTGTAATACCTACTAAGTAAATTCAATATGCAGTACCTATTCAGTATTAAGGGATCTGACATTTATGGTCTTTTAAAATACAGTGTAACGTTACAATAAAGTTAGAAATCTTCGATTTTAGTTTTTAATTTGTCGTAGGTAAACAACTAGTCCTACACATACTATGAGGGAAATTGATTGGCTATTTTCATGTATTTAACCGAGCTATATAAAAATAAATTAAAACATTATTATAAATCTATATGTAATTTTAACAATATATTGTAAAACCAATCACTAAGTTTATTTAAAATGTAGCATTTTAGCAAGAAACCACCGCTGCTATAGATTTTCTAAGACTCAAATCTATATTTCCAAATATACTTTGTCAATTTTTAATAATAAATCATTGTTTATAAATTTAAGAAAATTGTAAACATTTAACACTTTATTAATAATAATTTATCTGTGTACCAATTTCAACAGTTATGGTTGACCATTAAAAATTTCAATATTTACAATAAATTGTTTTAATATTGCATTGCAAGTATGAAAAAAACAAATTATTATAAATAATTACATCCAGAATAACATTTTATTTTACATAGGGTAAAATAAAATATTATATTACCATTATAAATAATTATTTGTTTAATACAATTTAACAAGAAATTATATTGTTTGATAATTTGAAACTCTGTTCTTATTAAAATAAATATTCTATACTTTCTAGAATATAACAACGAATACCTTAAACATGTTATAAATGAAGACTATATCATAAAGTTTCAAAAATTAATATTTGAGAAGAAACACAAACAATTTAAAACTAAAATATAAAATGAACATGTAATACCTTAGTAACTAGTATACACTGAAATGTCCGTTTAGTCAACAAATAACAGCCTAATCTCTTATCACTTTCTCTATCCAAGCACTCTACAAAAATTTACAAAATATAGAAAGAAGTACATATTATTGAAATACAAATATGACCAGATGAAAATACGGTCCAATAGAACCGATATTTTAGACAAATATTTGAATTCAAATTTTTTATCTGGTCATTTTTATATTTAACCATAATTTCCCCTGGCCATTTTAGTACATGGGATTTTTTTATATTTGACCATTATTATAGACTATCATTGATTATGGTATGTCAATTCTCTATTGATGATCAAAATATTGGTCTTGGTCATATTATAAACTGTAAACAATTCAAAGTTTAGTTTAACCAGTCATAGACAATTGTGTTGGTTTTTAACTTTGACATTTGACAATGGAAATACAAAATTTAACGAAATTCGATGATGATCGACTTAAGTTCAGATTTTTGGAACCTATCTATTTAAGATAGGTTCAAAGTTTCTGATTTTCACAAACTAAACATTTTGACTATTTAGTCAAAACTAGTTAGAAAAAAAATAAAACGTTATTACAAACGGAACAAGACTTTTGCGAGATTAAATTTAAAAATACAAAATTAATTGCGACCAGAATACTTAGTAAACTTTTATTACCCAAAAAAAATACAGAACAATTACCCTCATACACTATATATTATGTAATTTTTTTTTTTTTTATCTATCCATTACAGGGCTGCCACTCAATTATAAGGCTGTAAAAAGTGATTTCAGTGAAGAAATTGTTTAAAAAAGTGAATAAATAGTGAAAATTATATTCTTTTGAAATAATGAATTATATTCTAAACTTAAAATTATTTGTTTTGAGGTTTTTAATTTTAATATATCATATTACAATTTTTTTTTAAATATAAAATAACACTTAAATATTAAACAAAGAGTGTTAATAACACTACAAAACTAAGTTCCTTGAGTGTATAACACGCCATTTCTTCTGGGTTTTAGGTTTCGTTTTACAATTATTCATTTAAAATAAATATTTAATACACAGGCTAGTCTGTAACAGAAGTTATCACTTAAAGTCACTTTTAACACAGCCAAACGATGTCATAAAATACAAATATGAACCAACTCTTATAACAAAAAATAAGCATTTGTCATTTCGACATTTTGTAAAGTAATTATTGAAAATATGGTAAATGGTGTATTACCATAGATGTCAGGCATGCAAGTATACTAAATATTTAAAACTTTGATAAAAATAAAAAACAAGGAAAATGCCTAGTTCATGAATGATAAAGTTAAAGGAAGAAATTATGATTTTTTGTTTGAACGATAAGAGTAAAATTTTAGAAGCAATTTTATTCTCCTTACAAGGAAAAGTAACAAATATAGATAAAAATTTTAAACCTTTAGTTTTAATAAATATTTGAGATAATTATTTTTCGCAGATAATAAAGTGAACACTTTGGTAATATAGTGCCAAATAGTGGAGAATTCATAACCAAGAAAATAAAGTGAATAATAGTGCACAAGTGGCAGCTGTCATTAATTTAATATTTAAATTATTTGACTTTCCTGTACAGTGATTATTTTTCCGGTCAGATGCAATTGATAATTATATTATGCAGTCTTCATGAAAAAGTACAAATAAAGACCTTATAAGCTCCTTAAAAAAAACCATAACATGATCAGATGGAAATAACAATACCAAATCAAAATTAATAAATAAATAACCAGTCTCAAATCATTCATTTGGTCAATTATCACGTGAAACTCAAACAACTGACCTTGGACCATGTGTTTTTTAATAATACAGGCAACCTGGCAACTATATATTATTTTAAATTTTGTTCAGAATCATCAGTATTTTTTTTTTAATTATGTCACAAAAAAATGAATTATGCATTATTTAATAAAAAAAAAAAAAAATTAGAAAACAAGACACAATAAAAGTTATTGATATATTATATCAAAATATATTATATTAAAATATATTATAGCAACATTAACGGGCACTGACAGAAACTTGCCAAACTCTAATGTTATTATCTGAATATCCAGCAAACAACGTTTGTCCATCAGTCGACCATGCAAGTGAAAGACATCTAGGTGGTTCGGTATTGCTGTTTACTGATTGAGATACAACTTCTGGGCGAAGTTCTTCAACCATTTCTTTGCTTTCCAAATCCTAAATGATTTAAAATTGTTGAGTTAAAAAAATGTATTTAGATAAATACTAAGTTTAACCTATCACTTACCCAAATTTTGATTGATGGTCCAAATGCAGCACACAACCAGTAACGGTTAGGGCTGAAACAAAGAGCTTCAATGATGTCGTTGTGGTCGAGTGTGTGTAAATGTTTGCCGTCATTGAGATCCCACAACATGGCTTTGCAGTCCTAAATAAAAACATCAAGTTTATTTAGTATTTATTATTTTAAATACATATATATAATTTTTTTCTTACCTTTCCTCCAGAAGCACATAAGGAACCATCAGGTGAAACAGTAACAGTGTTAAGATATCCAGTATGTCCGTAATGGTTTGTCTTGATACGACAGTTAGTCAAGTTCCATACTTTAACAACCTTGTCCCAGCCAGCACTAACAATAATTGGATTATGGATGTTTGGAGAGAAACGTACACATGATACCCAATCACTGTGACCATCATCCTATATAAAATAAATATTTAATTTAATATAAATTACACAATTTTAACTAAAATATAAATCAAAAATTAAGTTCATAAGTATTAGAAAACAATTTAGTAAAATATGTAGCAACCATAATATTATAAATAACAATTTATTAATAATGAACAAGCAACACCAAATATTAGATATGCATGTTCAGATACTAGGAGGCATATCTATAATACTGTGCGATCTATGTTATTTATCAATTAAAATATATTAATCAGATACCAATATTTAGTTAGATTCTAATGGTTATAATATTTAATTTCTAAACATTAAAATATTATATTTTATTATCTCATAGGTAATAGTTTATATTAATTTTTCTTACCTGAATAGTATACTTGCACTCAGCCAATGTATTCCAAAGCTTGATGGTCTTGTCCCGACTTCCAGAAACGATTTGACGATTGTCAGCAGAAAAGGCAACACTCAGGACATCCTAAATTAAAATTGAATAATTATTTAGCGATTGAACCAAGCATGTGACCCTACTGAACGATCCGCGAGGTGCATACCAACATGTGTAAGTACTTACCAAGCAGTAATTCTTCTAGGTTTAATAAAAAAAAAAAGTAAAAAAAAAGCTTGAGATATTGAACCTTGGTGTGGTCTTCAAAACGACGAGTGGTACGCCCGGCAGCTAAATCCCACAGACGCAGAGTTTTGTCCCATGATCCAGAAAGTGCGTAATTACCGTCAGACGAGAGAACAACATCACTAACAAAGTGAGAATGTCCATGCAAACGTTTTTTAGGGATACCGTAGTTGAGCTCATCACGTGTAAGATCCCAGACGATCAACGTTTTATCTAAGTAACATCGATCGATAAATCAAAGAACGCACTTTAAGGACGTAAAGAGTATTATATTTCATAATCTTAATACACAGAAACCAATTCGTATAAAATCGGTAAGTAGTGCGCTTACCTCTTGAGCAAGACAAAATCATGTCAGTGTGAATCGGGTTGGTGGCGATCTGGGTGACCCATCCGTTATGCCCACGAAGGGTACCACGAAGTTGCATTGTTTCAGTCATTTTGAACGATTCAAATCAACTCTACAAACCAATATCAAAAAATAAAACGAGAAAACCGAAAGAATTCACGTGTTCAGCTCGTACCCATAGAAAAGAAAGATGCGAATGCGAACACGATACACTAATGGCTACGCTACGCATTTGAGGTTACCGAGTCCAGTAACCGGGTTTCAACGTCACTTACCGAGGTTGCGGTAACTTTGCATCTGGTTGTGGCTACACTGATCGCCTATGGAACCGCTTTAAAATGCCCGCGATGGTTATTTTACTTTTAAAAGTGTACAGTACGTATGTATACATATTATAATATTTTCTAAAGTTACTACAACCATAAATATAAATATTTCAAAATAAAATGACATTGAGCAAATATTTGTGAAACTTTTGGAAAATGAATTTAATTCGAAATGATAAATAGGTAATCAAAATGATTTATTATCTAAATGCATTATAGTTATTTACTCTGTGATGAAAATACCTACAGTACACAATTATTTGTACTATACCTATGTGTATATTATTTGTACTTGTACCTACAAAATATAAATTACAATAAAAATCTGTACCTGCATAATTGTTCTGTAAATTGTCGTTATGCTCGTCGGTCGTTGTACAAGGAACGGATCATTGTGTTATAGATGGAAAGTTAGGAAGGCAAGTTAGATTGGGTATTTTGAATTATTTCTGTAATTAAATATATCTATTTAGATAAACAATGATAAATCACATTGCTAACGAAAAACGATTCTGAGCGAATTTCGGTTAGTCATAAGCTTCAACAGAAAATTGTATTAATTTGTAACTATACAAAATAGGTAAATATTACAATTTGCAATACACGACGTTTCTTGTCGCAAATTTTTGAACATTTTCATTATATTGATCAAAAAGAAAAAAAAATGTATTCTTATAAATTGAATAATAGTTCGCGAAACCCCGTGAATTACTAGCTCAGCATTTTAAAGTTGTTTTTTTTTTTTGTTCATTAAAACTTAATAAATAAAATTTCGTTCGGAATATATATTTATATAAGTGTATTACATTTAATTCGTGCGATCAAAATTATAATGAATGGGTATGGGTTTGTAAATGGCTATAGGTACCTATTATATATGTAAGTTATAATAACGAATATGGTCGAGGTCAAATGAAACCAACATGAAATGTGCAGTGTATAACATTATGATGTTCCAATCGTATGTTATGATTATGAATTTCAAAAATGTAATTTACGTATACGGATCATATTATTAGCCCTTTGTTACGAAAATATTAGAACTGAAAAAACTATCCGGCGTTATTATTATTTAGTTTTTTTTTTCATCCAATTATTTTCATGATATTTTCGATATTTTCTAATATTTCGGTTGGGTCGTTAACGGTTTTATTTCGACTCCGTCCGGAATTCGGGTAACTGCTTTCACAACCGTAACGTCCACAACACCGGCGTTAGGTACAAGGGGTCCAGCAGGAGGGGGTAAAGGGACCATTGCTCCCCCCCCTAGGATTTTAAACTGTAGATATGTACTTTTATCGCGCACACCGTTTTACCGTAGCAACGTAAAATATTTTTATAGGATAAAACGTTTTCCCGTTTTGGTATTTCATCAAGCGGGCGCATTTAGTTGGGTGTCTACCTACCCCCGGATCTACGGTATAGTTCTTACACGCGTGTAGGTACGGTACGCGTTTCAACATACCTAATATTATTTCGACACAATTCGACCTTCCGACGTGAGATCATCGAAAATATATATTGCGTCAGAAATGTAATACGACGTTACGACGGAGTAAAACGGTCCCGCCCATATTATTGTACGAAATATTTGACCGGGAAAATCGACGGACAAAATATTTTTGGTCGATACGACCGAAGGCTCGGCCGTCGTAACATTGAAACGTACGTTTTTCACGTTTTACGGGAGAACGAGAATTAAATATGTTACCTATACCGTTACCGCGCACCTAAATACGTTTTCGTGGCATAAAATTTCGACCGGTTTATCCGATGCACGGCTAAAACTTTGCAACGCCTTTTATATCCGAAAGGCATAATATATATTGATAGGTAGGTAACAAAAAAAAAAAAATCAAACAAACAAAAAAGCGAGCCCACGTCAGCCGACGTTGAACCGGACGCCGGAATGAATAATAATATTATACTTAGATTTATGTATCCGTTTTCCGTGTGCCGAGGAAAAAAATAACGCCCGAGTACGAGAAAGTCAAAATAATATAACGAGGCGAAAACGAATGCTCTCGGCTTCACTATTGGTGGCCTATCTTTGCCCCTTATTGATGTTATTGTTGTTCATTGATAGTGTTGTACAAAAAAAAATTAAATTGAATACACTTCGAACATATTTACATAACTGTCAATCATCATTTGAACAGTGTACAGTAATTGTCAAGCAGGCAAACAAGGAAAACAAATACCTATAGGTACCTATGTAACATCAGTACCTATAGTAGATACGTGCAGCGGCGTGTGCGAACATATTTTATTTATACAATGGTGCGTATAACTCGCATTTCAGTATCCACCTCGCTCCACGCAATCAAAAAATATCGCTCTTTTGTAATTTTAAAATTGTTCGCAAGTCGATTAATGGCAAACAGAACTACGCAAGTCCCTATGTTTTCGCGTATACCCGTGTGGTGTCGAGAGTCAAAGCAACAGACGCCTCGGTGTTCTTGATCCTGTACCCAGGTGCGCATTTCACGCGTCTATAGTGGTGTAAAACAATGGAAACCACCACAGTTCTCTCGCGAAAATGCCTGCGGTGTACATTCATAGATATAAATATATATTTTGATAGTGCGTTGATAATGATTATTACCGAATACCGTGTTCCTCTACCGACCTCTTCCAAAAACACGTCATTCTCCTTAACTGTATTTTACTTATATTCCTAAATTAAAAGCATACTGTCTGTAGACCAAAATAAAGCATGTTATAGGAGTTTACAAATACTAGAATTAGGTATTTACCACAAGTCTGCAATTATTATTAAAAAAATCAGATTATAACGTGCACGTTGTACATTTTGCGTAGTCACAAAATTATAATCGATTTTGACTTTTTTTTTTGTAAATCATATCATCTAGGTGCAATTAGGTAAAAAAATATATTATTTTCAATAGGTAATAATAATAAAAATATCAATCTGATAGTTAATGACCGTGAATAATGCACATTTTGGCAGACCAATAAAATGTTTGCTTTCTTTTTATACATACATATAAAAATTAGGATTTTAATTATCAACCGCCATTAGACTACATAGTTAAGAAATTTCATAAATGTATTTAGAAGAAAAAACAATATGTATCATAATTATTAATCATTTTATCATAAGCGATCGACAAATATGTCCAATCGTCCCATTACAAGCTATTATTTTATTTGACACTGAAAAAACAATGCACTTTATATATATTTACTCATAATAGTAAATATATGAGTCATATGATCAACATGTTATATAAATGTGATAATAGCCATTACTACCAGATATAATGTATCTCAAATGATATTTTACATTTTGAGCTATGTATTAATTTAACAAATTTTTTTTTTTTTTTATGTACACAATTTTTCTACCAGAAATCTTGCACCAATTAAAAATGACTAGTTATTTCACAGAATTGGTGTAATGGGATGTATTATATTTAAATACAATAATTATTAGATCAAACAGAAGTGCTTGAAAATTTAATAAAAATTCATATTAAATTATCTTTTTGTTAACAAAAATAGTTAAGCATAATATAGTTTTATAAGAGTTTTAAATTAAAATGTCAACCAAAATCATAAAACATTACTGCATTTGTTCAACATGTTCTAAACTTCACTCAGAATCATACTTGCATATATTTTATGTACATCACCAACTTCTTTCTTAAAACAGTGACCTACAACAATACATTAGTATCGATTTTCTTTTTATATGAATTACTTTCGCAAATTCATATTAATTTATACAAATAATACCACTAGATAGGGATTTATTCATATTTATTAATTACAATGATATTTTAAATAGTGTTTCACACACTTATATATATAAAAAACAAAATTATAAACATTTGATTATATCTTCAAAATAAATTGTACAATATCTTCTTAGATGTGTCTGTGGCAACACCATTTTGGATATCAACTGATGGACCTAAATATGAGACAATTTAACTTTTAAACATAACTATATTAAAATATGTTTCTCCCGAGATGAAAGTTGTTACAATATCATTTACAGTGCCACAAGTAGGCATGTGTTTGTTGAGTTACAAGTTACATTTTATAAGGCCCACATATCAAAATTTAAAAAATATTTTCAAGGGTTGCCCCATAATTTATTTGTTAATAAAAATTGTAATATAAGTTACAGCTTTTTAAAAATGCAAAACTAGCATAACTGTAACCTTTATTTATTAAAAAAAAAGGCTATGCTCAGCCCTCAAAAATATAATCCTATTCAAATATTGTTATTTCAAACCTAAACCACCACAATTTATATTGTTAACAGTTCCCAACCTGTGGTGCGCGGAAAGCTTGTAGGTGTAACGCAAACATTTTTTAATAAATAAAAAAAAAATGTATTAGTTATTAATAATTAAATAGTTCATTAATCGATTGATAATAATACAAATAATAAATGTACACTTTTCATTTTATTTTTGTGCATTCATACTTATTACGTGAAGAAGTATGTGCAAATTATCAAAATGTGTAAGTGGTACACGGATATAAAGGTTGGGAACTGCTGTTGTAAGCAACATAAATTCAGTAAGTTGCCATCAGTAGAACTGAAATATCAGGTCCTCTAAATATAAAAAAATTCCTTTGTGAAATTGTGTTCCACTAATATAAGTTATATTATGGTTATACCAATGGTTGCAAATTACTACAAGTGGTATATTTTAAATACTAAAAACATTTTATACATAAATTATAATGTATATGAATTTATCGATAAAATAATATTTTATATTTACAATTTAATATTATACACTATTTTAAAAACATGATAGAATATTGTATATGTATTACTAGGGTACATAAAATATATACATACATTTATCATATATATATATTGTTTAGTCAGAGATTAATATATTAAAAAAAGACAATGGGATGTAAGTATTTATTAAAATAATAATGAAGTCAAGTCCATCATTTTTATTTTTATAGCATTTACACAAAAATCAAATAAATAGGCACCTAAATTTAAAATATAATAATTTATATTTACTTACCACAAAAACATGGTCAATAAGAAAGTATAATAGACTGTTATAAAATCAATGATGGTAGATATTAATGTTGACTAACAAATTGTTGTAAAAATAAAACAAATTCTAAAATATATATGATAAGATATTTTATTTAAATAAAAATTGTTTAAGGTATACATACCAATTACCAATGATCAAAAATGTTGTGATTTTAAATTTATCATTCCTCAAATTATATTGGAGGAAAGTTGCAATGTATAATAATTCTAAACTGTCATTTATTCAGAATTTATACAAATTAATTTTAACACGTGGCATCTGATAGCAAAACCTACAATTTCATCAGCCTTCAAAATAAAATTAAAATACAAACTATATAATCATGACTTTACTTAAAATCCTTTTTTATACAGCTTTTAATTAGGATAAAAAGTGAAAAATAGTTTGTAATTTAAATTACAAATATAAGAATACATATTATATAAAAAATATTGTATAATTCTCTATATGCCAGAATTTACATACTTTTAGTAAACATTTTATATCTTTCTATTCATAAATAATATGTTTTCAAAAGGTTATCTGGAATCAATTTTGAGGCGTTGGATATATTTTGGTTCTGTAATTTTAGACACAATAAACATTCTGTCCGAAACAAGGTAAAAAGTCACCTGGATAAAATTGTATACTATAATTTATGAATTTGGAAATATACAAATTGTAGAAGACCTGGCGGCCATGTAAATTTATAATTATGATAGGGACAATTATATATGGAAATTAAAAATACTGATAACCTATTATAAGTTGTTTAAATGCTAACCAATTTCGGATTTAGCAATGGTTATAACAATTTAAATAAATAACTTTAATAATTATAATAAAAATAAATTAATAAAATAAAAAAAAAACAGAAATGGTTTGATTAAAATAAGAACTATACTGACAAATTATACCCGAGTGTTAAATCCGAATCGATTGCTCACAAAGATTAGAGAAAAAAAGAACAGGCATACTATACAACTCACATTTTCCATAAACTATACTTACACATTTTGTTATAATATTTAAAACTTTTACAACATGATCTCTTATCTATGTGTAAAATACATATAAAATACTATCAAATTTAAAATACAAATATTTTAAAATTGAAGTTTTTACCTATGATTATTATTTTTTGTTTTCTAAACTTATAAACAGGAAAAATGGTTACAATTGTGTTAAAAAGTACATTTATATATATATATATTTTTTTTTTTTTTTTGACGTTAGATTAAATTGTAAATATTTATAATATTCTATAAAATAATTTGTTAGGAATACAGATGTAAAATTTTGTCCTCCTACAATATCAAAAACTGCCATATATAGCATTGAAAAAAAAAAAAAAAAAAACAATTGTATAATATATTACTGAAATAATTTTTGATTTTATCTTTAGATATTTATTAATCCTGTCCATTTAATTGAAAGTATAAATAAAAATAATAAAATGCAGCGTAAAAAAAAAAGAACAAAAATACAGTACAACTTTTGTTCTTAATTAATTTTCTTACATTATCATTAAAATTGAATTACTTAGATAAGACTTGGCGATATATAAATATATATAATATATATTTATATTCTTATGTATAATTATATAAATATGTATTATTAATTAATCATACCGTAAAGTGGGTTGATACCAGACACGGATGGTGTTGTTAGCTTATAAGAAATAATCTGGTGTCCTACGGGTGACATGTGGTTCGCCGCGTCTTGGTGCTGGATCAAATTGCAAACTGAATACAGAGTATGACGTATGAACATTTATATATATATATATGACAAATTTGCATTACAATTATTAAAATATTACTACTATACTCACAATGAGTATTTTAAGCCATCATCTAATTCCATAATAGCCGCTTGGTTACCACACCGATAACAATAATTGGGGGCCGAAAATATAGTCACTACATTACGATCATGACACCTGAAAAAAAAATATAATATTTAAATAATAACTAAACAAAAATCATGTCACTACTAATACTCACCAATTATAACCTTCCATTACAAGTTGATGAGCTCTGGAAACAAGTGTCAGACCATTCGAGTGATTGAATGTTTCTGAAATATCTTGGCCGAAAGTATAACCGGCCCCTCTAGGTGATATACCCCAACCAATTCGATCATCGGGGTCTGACCATAATAGATCACACATAGGACCCTACACATTAAATATGAATCATTAAAATAATTTCATAAAAAAATTTAAATAATTCAATAATCAATAAATAAAATATTACTTCATGAGGGACTTCTTGCATACGATCTAATGCTCTAATATGATCTAATGTGTCAATGGATGGAGACAGTCCTCCATGAAGACAGAATATCTGTTCATCAACAAGTGCAGTCAATGGGAGATAATCAAACAGGTCAGTGAAAAACTTCCATACATTAGCATTGCCATACTTTCGCAAGCATTCGTCATAGAAGCCATATACTTGTGTGATCTGTCGGCTCTCATGATTACCTCGAAGAATTGTTATTCTTTCACGGTATCGTACCTTGACAATATTTCATAATTTTTACAATATTTTGATTTAAAAACAAAATCGTATTAAGTACTATTTTAGCTTACCTTTAATGCAACCAATAATGTAACAGTTTCGACTGAATAATAACCACGATCAACATAATCTCCCATGAACAGGTAATTTGTGTCTGGAGATTTTCCGCCTATCCGAAACAGTTCCATTAGATCGTGGAACTGTCCATGCACATCTCCACATACTGTTACCGGACATTTTACTTCTTGTACATTGGACTCTTTGGTCAAAATTTCTTTTGCCTAAATTATATTTAAAAATCTCAATTTAAAAAAGTATTCACACAATTTATATGTTAAATACATTAATGTTATTTAAGGTGACGTATGAAGTTTCTGGTTAATGCTATTTATAATAATTGCTCTTGGATAGTATTCAAATCTTTGTTTTTATTCAAAAGTAAAAGTGGCTATTTTTATAAGGGGTGAATAAAAATACAGCCACCATAAATATAAAACTATGTTTAGCAAACATTATGCTAAACATACATTATTTTATGTATGCGCATTTATTTATACATATATATATTTTACAGTACACACAAATATATATGAAAATCCAATACTAAAAGAGAACTGATTATTGCTGATAGATAAATTATTATAACACTATTGCAGGTGGGAAGTTGGGGAGGTAGGATACATATTATTTGATGAAAACTACCTGAATAATTAAAAAAAAAACATCTCTAATGCTCAAATTAGATTTAAAATCCTAAAAAAGCACTTGTTATTTTTCGATTGAAGAATAATTTTGTGTAGAAAGTTGTTCACAGACAAAACAAATAAATACATACAAATCATAGCAAAACAAATATATTCCTCACTCTGCTCAGAATCTAAATGCTTTTACTTACATTCATATTTCTATACATATACGCATACAGCAAATTATAATATATATGTGATCTTATTTTTTGTTCATTAACTAATATTTAAATATAAATCAACTGTCTGCATATGTATTACTATATCATTAGAATACAAAACATTCATTGTTTAGAAATCAAACATAAAAAATTGACAATATTCATTACCTAATATAAATTAAAAAATTGATTTTATACACTTTTGTAGTATAAAATGTGTTATTTAAATAAGTATTATAGTAGAGATAATACTAAACATATTCAAAGGAATTTAAGAAAAGAAATACTAAACAAATTTGCCTTGAGATGACACCTATATAATTTAGCTCCATTGATTGAACTACCTATGTTCAATAAGAATATGTTAACTATTAAGTTAACCTATTAATCAATGGACTATTGTAATTTGGAAGGTATTTAACATTGTCAGTACAATATATACATTTATATATATACATATATGTTAAAAGTAGGTATATTATTAAGGTAAATTTTATTTTACCTAATTTTTATTTATATACACTATGCTAAAAAGTAATAAGAGCAAAAATGGTGCACAAATAAAATTAATAGAATAAAAAAGGTATCTATTAAATTTTGAACTGTGTTAACTCATTTTTACAGTGGTATTGTTAACATAATTTTGATACATACATCAAATTGCAATAATGATTTTAAGAATGTAATAAATTATTTCTTGTGACTTGATATTTAAAGTGTTAAATGATTATAACTAAAGACTATCACTAAAACAAAAAACTCTATTAATCTAGCTATTAAATAGAAATACTGTAAAACATTATATTCTAGATTCTAGACATGTTAATTCAAGCAAGCACTGCATAACAACAATAATCAAATAATCAAATTTAATATAATAAAAGAGACTCGAATATTACATAAAATGAAAATAGTTAGAAAAACAAATATAATATTAAATGCTATACCACCATAAAATTAATAAGATAACAACCACATCTTATTCATCATATATCATCAACAGATTCGGAAACAAGGTGAGTATGCCATTAATTTGTACTTAATAAGGGACATCACTGCTGTCACAGATGAATTAAGAAATATGGACATAAACAATTATACACCAATAGTTTTTATATCTACATAAGGGTACGTGTATCAAGTATTGCATACATTTTGGTACAATTATTTATTTTACAAAATAATTGCAACCTTTATATTAAAATAGAAATAATACGTAAGTATTTTAATCATATCAAACTTTATAATAATGACTTGTAAAGGTTATTATAATTTTGCTTTAAACTATAATTATTAATCAAAGAGATAATAATATTTATATTTTTGCCTTGAATTTTTCTTATCTACCCATACTCATTGTTTAAATTTGAATTGATCTCAAAATGTTTAATTTGCTGTAAATTTGTCAGTTTTTGTTTTACATTTTAACCAATTCTATGAAAAATGTTGAGAAAATCAAAAAAAAAAGTTCTCGTCACGTCTTGATTGGAGCAAAATGTTTGGTAGAGAAATTGTTTATGGCCATAAAAAAAATCACAGATTACAGCAACAAATATATTCCTTACTCTAATCAAAATCTAAAATATTTTAGTACTTAATTGATTTAATACTAAAACAGAAATTGAACTGATGCGGATATACTTTATAAGTATTTAGATACTGTTTAGATACATTATATATTTTTAATTTAAAATAGTGTAATTAATATATTCTTTAATAAAATAAAAAAAACCTTTTTATGACCCACTAAAACAATTATTTTCATTTATTTGGTTTTTGAAAATACTATTTCAAAATATAATACAAGTTAGATTCATTATTATATAAAAAGAACTATAAATATTACCCACAAATGTTCATTGCTATTATAATATAGACAAAAATATAAATTTAAATATTAGGAAAGTATGGAATTTATTACCAAGGTATAATATTATATTTTTATCAATTATGTAATGAAAATGAACAAGTTTATAAGCCAATAGGTATGTACTAAGCATATTTCTCAGCATATGTGTAGTACATTAATAACATTTAAAATTTAGTGAATTTAATAGTTTTGTTTAATAATAATAAATAATAGTTATTGTTAGGTATGTTTATTTACCTATAAGGCTTTTTTCTCTAAAAAAATGATACAATGAATATTATTTAAGGAGGTATTTATTTCTTACATACACCTAAGCAGTTAGAATAAACTTGCTATTAACACTGTTATATTATGAAATGATAACCTATAGTTTTAAAATAGGTATACATTGAAATAGCTTTTTTTTTTTTTAAATATCAAATCAATAACAAAATAAAGATAAAAAAATATTTATAATATAGGTACCTAGTCTACCTAAAATAATAATTAATAAATAATTATTAAGTTAGCCAGTGTATGTGAAATTGTATTTTGCAGATTGGGCTAAGTAATAAAAATTTAAATATGGTCAATTATGAAAATCATTGTATTACTCCAACAAAGCCAATTGGTGTAGTAAGCAATTATTGTGGTAATTGAAAAAATAAAACGTAAATAGATACACACCTTAACTATTATTGATTAAAAAATGTGTCTTTAGTTATCAAATGTACTAAGGCAAATTGTTTTTTTTTTCCAATAAAAATAAATTATAATAGATACTAGATGATATTCTAATATTATCATTCTTGGTATTTTATGAGAAGTTTCAATTACATAAACCATAAACATTCAGTTTTTCTGTGCTTAGGAGAGAAAATTAAAACATTTTAAATATAATAAATACTATTTTTTGTTCTATAAATGGAACAAGAGATGCATAAAAAAATAATTTAAAAAGTTCAAAATAATAAATATAATGCACATATTGAGTATCTACCAATATATTAAGTATGTTATATACCTAGGTAAATTTAATGGTTTTTTTTCTTTTAAATATTTCATATTTAGATAAGTACTGCAACATTAAGTCCATAATTAGACAAAATATAGAGAATGCATTTTTAAACAATATCATTTGTAACTATTTGATAAATAACTTCTATTCATGGATATTAATTATCAACGTAAGTACCTAAGTATCTATTTATCGTTAACTATGTACTGACATATTGTCATTATTTATAATTTATCAAAAATATAATGTATTGATATTATTAGATTCAAGCTTATAAAAAATGAAAAATGGTAATAGATTTTAAGTATTGAACACAATGACACGAGATTAACTTTAATGATTTTAAGTGGGTAGATGGTTTGATTAAAAAATAACCACCTCCTAAAGAATTTACTTATTTTCAATTAGGTAAAGTATTGATAACAATGCAAGTAATAATGTTAGGAAATAAATATACTTGCTCTTTCAATAACTTAAAAAAATGAATAATACTTTTTAAAAAAAAAATACTCTAATGACTGTAAGTCTATAACTTGACAATTGGATATAAAAAATAATGAAATTTGTTTAGTAAACTTTGACGTACAATATATTATTAAATAACCTAACCAAGATATTTTTTATAATACATAATAAGTGTAGTCCTTCACCAAATACAATTATATTTTAATAGCCTGCAGTCAAACTACCAAATATGAAAAACTGATGTTCAAACATTGACTAATCACAATTATTATTGATCGCTTGACAGTTTAAAATGGATTGCGGAAAAAAAAAAGAAAGGTCGCTATACATTATAATGGATTAATCACACAAAACAAATGACCAGTTAACGGAACGCAGGGAACAAACTCGATATTAGCCTACTAATCCCAAGTATTGATGGCTAAATCCAAGGCCGTGATCATTTGAATAACGCTCTATCACACGAGAATAAATTTTATTCAGGGTTAATCCTGTTATCAATAGAAATCGGACAGAAGCCTAGAAAATGCTCAATAATAATGCGAACGAGAATCGAAAGTCCAGAAACGTAAACGGCAGACCCACACGCGTCGGTCGAGTCACGTACTATTACGATGAATAGTTAGAAAAGGGCGGGCAGTGGCCCTGGGCCCCTTGCGCATTTCGCCGAGCCGGTTCCGGCACCATTGATGGGACAAAACCAGCTCACGTGGTCAATTCGGGCGAGGTACGCGCGTCCGCGATAGCCTCAACGAGCGTCCAGCGATCCGACATGATCGACAGACGAACAAGAACCGGCCGACCAGCCAGCCCTGGCAGCCGAGTGCTTAGGCGGCAAACATAAACAATATGGCCGAACCGAGTGCGCGCGCGAACCCGTTACGCGCTGCGGCGGCGGCGGCGGCGGCGTCGTATCGGCGGGGCACCACCATCGAGATATTTACCTTGTCGCACAGGAACTTCACTTGGCTCTCGGTCAACTGTTTGCACTCGTTCAGCTGCTCAATCCATTGGTCTAGTTCCTTCAGGGACGTTTTATCGTCCATAATACGAACGTAAAACGTCGGCACACGCAAAAGTAACCGATTGTTTTTCTCAGGGTAACATGTAAAAATAAATCGAACGGGCGCGCGAGCGGAATACTACGGTCCGGACGGAAATCACAACACAAATGAAATGACAGGTCGGCGAAGGGTGGTGACGGCGGCGCAGGGAGGGGGCACCCGATGATTATTTTTGTTTTCTTTTTTTCCCCTTTTTACGTTTCTATCGGCCCAACACGCTGGTACTGCCAACGTAACAGTGCGCAGTGCATGCACACTCATGGACCACGGACCACAGCCAACCGTCACCGCACCGCCCGGCCACCGCCTACCGATAAACAAACCTAACAAACGGGTTTCGTTGTTCGTTCGCCGACAACCTGCAATGTCGTGTACTCGTCTATGCTCTACACACGACTCCGCAATACGAATCAAAATTAATTATGCGTTGTCGGTTTTCTTGCTCGTTTTCTCCTGAACAACACACTGCATTGGAGTTTGGACGTACAACTGATACTGAGTGCACACGTTTACACCGTTAACCCGCCAGGGCTGGACTCGTCACTCATCTGGGTATAGGTCATGTCCGTTCACTGTTTTCAGTTTGTTTGTATACAAACCGCAAGTATTTCTGGACACGAGTGTAATTTAAACACTTTCTTCTTGAATACAAAATATAGGTCAGAGCCATAATAATTAAATAACACGACGCGTATTGTATTGAATATTATTCAATATATTGTTTAATGTCTTTTTAAGACGTCGTGTAACTGGTAGTAGCCGTTCCAAATTTTTGTCCTCGAAATTTATGAACACCAACGATCGGGTATCGGCAGTGACGTCTGTACTGGTTTTGATTTCATATAAACATTACAAACGAACTTTTGAAGTTCATTTACATAACACGAAAAACAGTAATATTATTCGCACGTAAATAATCATAGGCGTGTGCACGGGGGAGCCGTCCTACTGGGTCGCGGCCCCTCCTATTGGCCTAGGAAACGTTTTAATGCCAGTAAAAATATTCGCGATAAAATACCACGGATTATATAAAATATATAATAATAATCTTTGGTACAGATTTGAGATTACATAAAAAATCTGTGACGCACTGTACCTGTAAAAAAAAAAAAAATAAGTACGTACCTACCTACTAATTAGTGGTAATAGGACTGGTACGAACTTATTTCCATAGATATAGAATAGTATTCCGAATCTATGATCTAGGTTTATTTCACTTTTTTTTTCTAGATTATCTAATTATCGACCAAGGTGGACAGGTGTAATCGTAGGTAAGTACCTATAATATATTACGGCAATAAGGGAGGTGGGGGGAGGGATTGACATTTTTCTGTTATCTATGGCTATGAATGAAATGCTTATACCTGTATGATGTCTTGTGAATCCATCAGGTATCTGGTACGTATCTATAGTTATTATACAAATAAAATATAACACATAGTTACTCTAAACAGTACAGAAAATGATCTGTATTTTAATCAATTCGTATACAATGGTAAAAGGTTTAAGCAATACCGTTCATTTATAGGTATTCCTTACTGGCTACAGTTTATAGGGTTATCTATCGCGATTTTCGAGGAGTAGGCAATTTAATGTACACAATAAATGTAGTCTTTAAAAAGTTAAGAATTAGATATTATTCTAGGTAATAGATTTCAGAGGCATTAATGAAAATGGATCGCTGCGTGGATATTTTCGTTACGAATTTTTAATTGGGATCTTAAATAGGTACCGACGTGTCGTGGGCATAATGTTCTTCACGACTATTATAAGTGTGTTTCTTATTGTACCGATTCGCAAAATATGAATACATGTATCTAGTTTACCTATCGCAGTATTACTTCAACCAAATTTCGTCCGACTCACGTTTTCTGTGCCCACCCATGGTGCTATGTTTGAATGGCTATTTTATTTTAAATTAAGTTACCTACCTAATGTTTTAATAGGTTCGTCCGGTGTGCAGTAGCCACCGAAAATAGCGTATCATTATTTAATAACGATCCATCGTCTTGAAGTCCAACTTAAGGGTGTGGTCCGGGGAGTAATGGCTCGCGGGCCCACTCATTTTAGCGACTAACCTGACGAATGACCGAAATGGATAATAATTTATATATATATGTATCTCGAAACACATAAAATAATGTAATATTAATGGTTTTTTCATCATTTCTGTTTGCTTATTGGTTTTTTATTATTTTTTTTTTTTTTTATAAGAATTCATTGGTTGGGTATCTATATTTTATTAGACCCCGGTTAACTCAAGTTAATATATAGGTTCCCTATGGTTACCTATACAGGTAACGAGTCTTAAAATCTCAATTCTTATTTGACATCTGCTCGCACAATCCGAATGCATGTAGGTAGCAAGCAGGTATACCTACTATATATTCAGAAAGTATAGAAACGACTATATAGGCACGTGCGAATGACCCACACACACACGAAAAATAACTAACTTAATGTATATTATATTTATATAATATATAATACGCAAGAATTTACAGTAGAATATAAAATATAACCCGTGCTGTATACTAGTACGAATACTTATCTACTACGGTTGCCAACTTTAAAAAATTTAATTACTGGCCAATATATACCTAGATAGGTACTCGTGTAGATATTTATTATAATAGCTGGCTACCGTTGGTTTGAGAAAAATTAGAGAACTATTATAGTTAAAACCAAAAAAAAAAAAAAAAAAATTATAATTCATAATTTCGCAGTACACACATATTTTTAAAAGAAAAACTGTTAGTTTCATTAAGTAAATCACAGAAATCCTTAAATTACAATAGAATTTTCCATGGCTTTTATAAATTTATTTATTAATTAAAAATGGTACCTATAAAAGTGTATTAAACATTATTTTAACTCAAATATTATAACAAAATCTACAAAGAATATAATAAGTAACATTAGTATTATAACTAGTAAAACATTATAGTTTCTTAATTTCCGATTTTGTACTTCGCAGTTCGTACACGATTTAGCAACAGCTAATAAATGGTATTTGGTCTATAGGTAACGTTAACAATTAATTCAATACACGAATAGGTGTACCTACGTACGATTGTTTCGGATTTCTCTTTCTCTTGTATTATTCTTTCTATGTTCTTCATCGCGATATTATTGTTTTTCTTACTACTTAATGATAAATTTGAAATTACCGGCATTTTATAGGCCGTTAGAACGTAATAATCGGCAAACGGCCATCGTCCATAATTTTTCGGCTTGGCCGCAGTGCACATTTGAGTGTTGGGAAAAGGCGATCTATTTCACACCCACACATTAAACATACATACATATATACATATCTATTATAAATACCTATGGATTGGACTTGATGGATAATGATTTTTAAAGAAAAAAAAAAGTTACACAAATATTAGCAAGGAAACTAAATTACATATTCAGAATGATTCACTAAGCGTGCTCATCCTATTATTTTCGTTAATATTTGCATGCAATTTTGGAAATTTTAAGCGTAGTTAAAGCCGATATTTTCGTATAATTAGATTTTTCACAGCATTTAAAGAGTGGCAATACCAACATAGGTTTTTCAAATTCCTCAAATAGACAAGAGTATTACTTTAAATAAATCTTGGCGTCAACATTTTTGATGTCCGTCAACCCGTTAACGAGATATTCCACTTTTAAGTTTAGGTAGGAGAAGAGTAGTGGAGTATCATTTGTGTGGTGGCACGGCGCTTCATTAGTGTTCCACTACTCTCTCCCCTACCTAAATTTTAAAGTGGAATACTCGTTAACGGGTCGACGGAAATCAAAAATGTTGACACCGAAATTGATTTAAACTAATACTCCGTATATTTATGGAATTTTTAATGTAGGTTCTCATTTTGAAAAACCTAAGTTGGTATCGCCACAGGATACTCCTTCATCCTGTATTACTATTTATTATTAAATCATTAAAAAAGGTAGGTACTGTTCATACTCACGAAGAAAGGTGGGAATTCGAAATATATACATTTACCTATAGATTAATTTAGTTTGATATAATACTTTTATGTAAGGATACATTGAAAACGATTCTAAATAGAGTTCGGTTAACAACTTTTGAACCCTTTTATTCGTTTGAAATTAAAATATAAATTACAATAATTGTGATTTACACGAGTTTTAATTTAAATCTTTTGCAAAAAATAAAAAAATAACGATTTTAGGCTCGCTTCTTTTTCGTCAACTCTTAGATAGTACAACCTATAACAAACTTTTTATCAAATATTCGATAATTTTTTATGAAGTCAAAAAATTATGTCCACGTAAAACTAAAAGTAGGTACTGGAAAATTCCAATTATTGGCTATAAATAACTTAAGCAGAGACAGAATGTTTTTGGTATTGTACACACAGAGTATAAAGAGTAGGTACTCGACGGGACTTTCGTGTAACTAAGAATACTTTTCACTGAACTACAATGAAAAAATAAAATCGATTTCAGCAGAAAACGCTAAAATATTTCTGTTTTCCAATTTTGTTTCCGGTTTTCCGTCATTATCAAGGGAAGCCGTAAAACGGTCGAAAATAAAACCGTCAAACTGCATTGCAGCCGAAAAGGTGTCATAATTATATTAATATAAATGTATATTTTAACCGAAACACAAATTGGACAACACGCATTTCAGCGGAAAATTAATTGTCCGAAACGTAATGCAGCCGTAAGCGGCTATACGGGTACCGTGCGGCGGCTGTGGTTGGAGCATAATAGGCATGCACGGTGTTTTTAACACCCAACTGATAATGTTAGGAAAACAATTCATTTATCGATCGGTGTAACAACCGGATACGTCCGATGAATGCCATGAAAAATACATCACGAAAACTACGTATAGTTACGTTACTGGCGGGCGCAATAATCAAATAAGACGTACGGACTTACCTTACGTATTTTCACGTATTAGTTTTTTTTTTTTTTCTCCCGGCGCGAGGGCCGCGATTGAGCGCAGTTTACGTTTCCCGCGACCCGGTTGGGCGCAGACGCAATCAAACAATAGGAATCCATAATACGGCACGATTGAGCACGGGAATACGTAGGTACTGCCGTTTCTATTATTTCCAAAATCTATAAAGGTCGATATTTTTTCTGTTTACCTATTTATACGAACTACTTGTGTCCCATTTTCAATTAATTTCAATACGA